CCAGACGCAGCAGGAAAAACCTTCAAACAGAGCTTTCAAGTGGAGAGTAAATGCTGAAAGTGACCTCACGACCATTATCATCAGAGTTTAACTTTCCCCATTGTTTTCCCCCAAAAAAAGAAAGACAAAACAGAAATCTTTTACTCTAATGGACCACCAGTTCACTAGCATGGCATTCAGAAAAAGGTGGAAGGAGCGTGGACTGACTCACTCACTGCAAGACAACCACCGCTAGCGGTTCACAATCCATGGCATATCAACAGGGAATAAAGACGAGTGTATTGGAGACATGAATTCTCCAGTCACCAGAATGGGGTCGGAATCATAAGGTTAGATTTTTGGCAGTTGTCACCATCCACACAGGGTTGGACCACAAAAAAGGGTCCATTTATTCAGGAACCATGGTAGGGACACCCAAGGTGTAACAGCACCAAGTCATATTATTGTATGATCACGGACAACAGCCACTTAGGTCCTGTTTGGTACATTTACAAAGCATTGAAAATAAAAGGTACTTGGGATTTGAATTGAAAAAATCTATTCAAAGAGATTGCTTGTTATATAGAATTGAACAAACTCATATATGTAAAATTGGGCAATACTATGAGAGAAGATGGTATTCTCCAATCCCAACTTCATGATTTTGACTCATTCTATGTAACAATCAATTACTTATGCCAAATATTTTTTTAATAATTTTTTTCAATGACATTATTATCCCTATTTTTCAATGTTTTTTCAATATTCATTTAAGAACAAGATGATCGATGGCTCAAAATATGCAGTGCACAACAAATAAGATAGGGACAGGAAAATAACACCAGAATGTGAGAATTAAAACAGCTTTAGTTCACGAGCTCCTCCACATTTACAAACCATCATGATAACAATCACATGACCACATTATTAGCTCTTTTAAAGTAAAAAATGGAATTTGAATTCATGATTGACTTCATGGTGTGACCATAAAACCAAACCAAGAGACAGCACATGATTATCAACCTAAAGTTTCATTACAATTAATACTATCTCTGTTACTTAATATAAGGGTCAGATTGACATTCATTTTCATCTTATACCTAAGATTTTAATTCATTTTATCTCATATTTATCTTTTTTTTCTCAAGATAGTCTTTGTAATAGTTGTATATATTGAAAGTTTCATCAAACGATAATTCTAATTAAAAAATGTATTTTAAGAAAAATAACAACTATTTATTACAAATAAATAATTTTACTAATTTTCTTCGTTTATTTAAATTAGTCAACTAGAAAGTACTAATATGCTAATGCTGAACTTCCCAGAACATTTAATCTTCTAGTGTAACAAAAAGTACGAAGAGAAATAAACCTATTGCCTTAAAAATGATCTCACCTCACACATACTGGCATATAGCACGTACATAGTGAAGGAGGGTAACTATTGACCGAAAAAAGTTTGATGATTCAATTAAGAGAGAACCAGCGCTATTAAAAATAAACAACCAACGGCTGAGAAATTTGATACCATGAAGGGCAGTGTGCAAGCTTCCATTGCGGATGAAGTCAGTGATAATTAATTTTTCATCACTTGCGTAGTAATATGCTCGTAAGCGGACGATGTTAGGGTGGTTGACCCTCCCAATGATCTCCACTTCAGCCTCGAACTCCTTTAGCTTCCAGGTGGCATCACCCTCACTCAACCGCCGGACGGCCACCACAGTCGCCGCCGGGCCCGACCCTTTCCCAGGAGCTACTACCTTATACACTATCCCACTCTTACTCTTTCCCACTACATATGCGGATGCTCTTAATAAATCCTCTAGTTCCAGACTGAACCCTTCATCTACGATCACGAATTTACCCTTTTGCCCTTCACCTCCTTCCTCGTTGGCCTCATTGTCTAATTTTTGCTTCCCTAACTTGCTCAAATCAACCGTCCGTCGTCTGCGCAACAGCCACACTGACAACGAAACGGCCCCCGCTACCAAGGAGACGCCAAAAATTATAGGGACGATGATGGAACGACTTCGCTCTTTCGCCTTCGCTTCTTGATATCCCGCTGGAAACCCAGGGTTAACAGTGTTTGGGTTTTCAGGGTCTTCGTTGCTTGGGTAATTCTCGGGATTCTGAGCTTCTGGGCATGCATTCTGCAAAGGGAACCCACAGAGGCCGGGGTTAGCGGAGAAAGCTGTAGGACCCTGGTTTAGCAACGAACCTACTTGAGGAATTTTGCCTGTCAGGTTGTTGTTCTGGAGATCCAAACTGACTATCACAGGGAGTCGCCCCAAAGCCTCCGGGATCCCACCCGAGAAGTGATTGTAAGAGAGATTCAAGGTTCCAACGAGGTTAGTGAACTCGGATAGAGCTTCAGGGAGAGAGCCATTGAGGGAATTTGAGGATAAATCCAAATGTCTGAGTGATTTGAGAGACCTGATCTCAGTTGGAATGGGACCAGAGAGGAGATTATGAGAGAGGTCTAAAAGGAGGAGGCCAGTCGCGTTGAACAAGCGGGAAGGAATGGCCTTGGAGAAGTTATTGTGCGAAAGACTGAGTTGCCTGAGCGAGTCGAGCAAACCAAGTTCAGATGGAAGGTAACCCGTCAGGCCTTTGTTGGGCAGGACGAGCTGGGTGACTCGGTCATGGGCACAGGAGACCCCAGCCCAGCGACATGGGGTGGAGTCAGAGTCGGACCACGAGTTGAGAACTCCGGAAGGGTCGGACTCAACGGCGGCTTTGAGGGCGAGTAGAGAGAGGCCATCGGAGTTCAAGGAGGAGGTGAAAGAAGCTAAGAAGCACAGGAGAATGGAAACTATGTGGAGAGGAAGATGCATTTCCATTCTTCAAGTGGGGATTAAAATAAAAAGCTGGGAATGTTAATGGATCATTTTGCAAGCATGTTTAGAAAGAAGGCGTCACAGATTGGCTGCAGAGTGTGGAGTTCAAGATGAAGAAGATGGCCTAGCATTTGAATTTTGTCGCAGGGATGTTTTCGAGGTGGCATTACAGTTTGAATTTTTCTGACCATCCTGTCCTCGACATACTTTCTTTTTTAGTTATTATTATTCGCAAATAAGCAGCGTTCTTTCCATAGAGAGCCGAGGCTCAAACTCTGGGTAATTTCCCTTTTTTTTTTCTTTCAATATACTCATCTATGTTTTAAGCTTCATGTATTTTATTCTTATTTATTTACATATTTAATTATTTAAATAAAATTTAAAGAGTTGACAAATAAGTATTGGTAAAAAAAACAAATTAGTATGTACTCTATATATTTTTCAAATATTAGCGCTCCTTACATGTCTTACGTGCCACGTAGATATGCATAAGAGTCACTTTTGTTTTTCTGAGGTAAAACAAAATGTTTGAAAAGGATTTGTTGGGAATTTTTTAAGATCACTTTCGTAGAAGGTATACCCTTTTTTTTTGCCAGATTTTCTAGAAGGCATGTCAGTGGTATGTAGTAAGCTCGATATGGAGGCAGCAAGTAACATTTATAATCTGTAAATGTGAGATTTAATATAAACTTTATGTTGATACGTTGATTTTGTTATACTTTTCTTCTTTGTCTTACTTTCATCTAAGCAGAGTGATGAGTAAAAATAGCTCTACTTTCAAGTAATCGGCGGCATAATTAATCCCTAGGCATTTTTGCAAAGAAAAAAATTGTATATTACACCCTTCTGTTTATTTATGATTTAAAATACAGTAATAATTTGAAGCCAAAAAAAGGCCAAGAAAATAAATGACAAAAACCCGATATCTGCGGCATGAGATAGAGATACCAACGGACTGAGTCGACCACACAGGGGGCGACTTGTTTTGTTTCTAGCCATTTTTTTTTTAAAAAAAAAATCTCATAAATAGTGCGTGGTGTCAGAAAATCATATAACAAGGACAACATGCTTGTGACTCTCCTTTCACTTTTTCAGTTTTGCCATTAAACAACACTGCTTCCTTCTCAGACCCCAAAAAAAAACAACTGCTTCACGGATCCAACAACCGCTGCTTTCATTCAAATGGTTAGAAATTTTTTTGAGTCACGTGCTCTGCTTGATCCCCTTCCACAGTTTTTGAGCTAAAATCCCAATGTTTCCTGATAGGCCAAGAGGCAAATAAAGGAATGTTTGGGTAAGATTAAAACTATGGTTTCAGAAGAGTTTTTACAATATACGAAATAAATATATGAAGAATTTGTCTCGATTTATGAAAAAATATTTCTGCACAGTGATTATTTGGGTATCTAAACACCCATTGAAAATCCAAATACTGCCTACTCCTCTCTAAACTCTAAACCTCGCTCCTTGCTGCTACTACTTTTCGTTTGACTGTTCCCTGAACATGATTGCAATCTTAATTTAATTAGAGCACAACTAACCCACTAATGATCCATGTCCCATTTGGATCCAAGGCTTTCCCAACCCTCATTATTCTTGCTGGAGTTTAGGTCACAGAATCATTATCTCATCACAAGTCGTGATTTTTTACCCTCCAATTGCTATTATTGTTGGTATAGTCAAAGGTCTCTTACAATTTAATCATATTAGACTTCAGAGTGGAAGGTTCATTAGAAGCCAACGGGGTTAGTGAGTAGAAGACAATGGAACAGTAAAAGGAAGAAAAGAACAGGAAACAACACTAGGGCCACCTCGCATTCCTAACCCCCCACTATTCTAACTTTCACCGAAAGACCAACTAACAAACACTTTGGAGCTTTGTGGGCCCACCTCAAAAGTCCATTTTATAAAAAGTTTGAAGCAGCCATGTGCTTTCAGCCTTTCAGCACCACTGATCAGTTTGCCACGAAAGCAGAGTGCATACCATGACCTCCAGGGACCATAATCCACAGGACATCAGAGTGATCACCGTAAGGAAGCCCTAGAAGTTTATCTTTATAATCATTACTATATATTGTAGCAGGAAATTAAACATCATTTTGTACGCAATGTTACATTGTGGCGACTTATTTTTGGGTCAACTTGCGGCCATTTTGTTGGCTGTGCACCACTGCATCTAATATATTAAAGCCAACAAGCCTCAAGTATTTGTCCTCAGGCCTGGGCCCAACTCGCTATATAACATTACATTCTCTTTGCCTACACTGTCATTCGTCTAGTTTAACAGAAAAAAATGTTTATTCCCATGTTGATTGTTTCAAGTTTAACTAAAATAAACAATTAGCTGTTGTTGTAATGTGAAATGTAGAGAGTATAATATGCTCCTCTTCATTATATTTGCAAGGTGCATGTAAACTGCTAGAGTTTTGACTTAAGCCCCTTCTTTCCAGGAATCTCTAATGCATCATAATGGCCAAAGCCATGGTAGAGAACCCTGATCGGGTTTTCCTTGCCATATTCTTGTCCATACTCAGCAATAGATATCAAGCCACCGGCATCTTTATCATACATGTACACTGTGATTGGCATCCTGCAGAATTGGCCTCGTATTAGTTCAACATCCAAAATTGTGAAGTTCACAAACGTACAAAGATTGAATAACTGGTTCAAGAGAGAGGGGCACTAACTGCAGAACATGCGAAGCTATGAATAGTTCAGGTTCACCTCCCCACACATGGGGCTTCCTAATTTGGGAAACATAAGTGTCGAAATCACCTTCAACAAACCTGAGATATCATGTGACAACCAAATCCTATTTCATCAGAAGACAATCATTCCATTGGATCATAATGGTATGAGTTTAACAATTTCACATTCTCATTCAGGCATCAAATGACATCCTCTTGATACATCAATCAACGAAAACCATCACTGATTTCAAACATAAATAGTTTAATATGGCACATCTATATAGAATATAAAAATTCTAACAAGCTATACCACTCATGAGACATAAACATAGCAACTCAGTTCTCAGAATCCATCCAATAAACAAGACCTACTCTAATTATTATTAACTTTCGAAAACAAAGACTAGAGACAGACCTAATCCGCCAGAAGGTGATGCACAACTCATCTACTTAAATCAACCTGCTGTATTTTTTCTGCTAATCGGGAACACATGTTCCTTCGCGACATTGGCAGAGAGAAAAACACAGCGAAAGTTATCTGTCTTCTGTGTGTGTGTGTGTAAAAGGCATTCCATGTGTTGGAATCACAACTATCTATGGATATGTAACTTGAAAGCCTACCATTCTGTCTCTTCCCTTCTTTTGACAAATTCATCAGCAACCTGACCAATGTAACAGAAAAATGAAACAAATCAGGAACAATGGCAGCTGAAGAATTGATGGGAGCAAAAAGGCACCAGAAGAACACAAACAGCATGGTTTCAGACTTATATGAAAAGGAGATTTTAATTTTGTCAAGACATGTAATACTGTGAACTGATTCAAGAATAATATTTATTTGAGACCAAAACTATTCATCAGGAAATATGTGTGCTCAATCATGCATGGTGTTTTTCTTTGGGTGGAGCTAAGGGAGATTGTAAGCTTATTAGGGTGATGCCAACAAATTAAGTGACAAAAAACATACTTTGTTTCTTAACTCATCTGCTAGCTCTCTCTGAAAACTTTCACTTGGAGAAGGTTTTCCGGACCTCAAACAAGCCCCGTGAGCAACAGAACGGAACAAACATCGTCCATCTCCAGGTATTCCTTCACAACATGGAAAGTTTATAATGCAATTAATAAATATCAAAGTTAATTTTATAGCTGTAATTATTTCTATGTACATGTGTGTGTGCAATTTATGTAACATGTAATTGCATTGCTTTATGTGACCAACTACACCATGTATATCTATGCCATCAGAATGCAAAACGTTATTCGTAGAAAGAATGTGCAGCTCACCAATTACAGAATAGTCAGTGTAAACTTCCTTCCCATGTGAGAATTTCACGGATGGCTCACTGCAGTCATCTTCCGTTCTCCCATTCTCTGTATCTGTCTCAGAATGCGCGGGTTGGGAACTTGAATTACAAACAAGTAATCCAAAAATCAAGCCAGCTGATGCACATCCATGTGGCCAAGTTATTGGTCCCACCTTACACTTGGCTTTAGGAAGCAGCTTTTGTTTAGGTACCAAAAGCCTCATATTCAAACTTTGGCAAGCCAACGACACTTCAAGATTCCTCCTCTGAGGTCCTACAGAGCCCAGGACTTGAACGTTGTCCCTTTGCTTGGAGAAGCAAGATCCCAAGCAACCTCCCCTGATTGTTTGGCCCATAATAGTTGCACAAGACGATGTTGTATAAACAGAAAAACCAACATGTCGTAACTCAGATTTCCCAGGGGACAAATGGATGGAACATGAACCACACTTTCCTTGGGACGAAAGACCACAGGTATTGCTGCTTAGTAGCAGATTTGCGCGACCTTTCAGGACAATGGCATTAATTGAAGATAAACAAACAGGAGAGCAAACTCTCATGTTTACATTGCCTGAGTCACAGTAAGATCTAATAATTAGCTCCTAGTCTAAAAAATGTTCCTTTTTTTTTTTTTAATGCCACCCAAAATAATATTCCTAGGAATATAAATTTTGACTATCTATACTCAATTCAACAATAACAACTAAAGCAAATAAACTTCACCATTTCAATTCTGTTCCTGGGTCGATTTGCAATTATATGTTAAGTTGCAACAGGAGAGCTAAACCCAAAAAAATTCAAATTTATTGACAAGATTGGAGATATCACGAGTTCTTTGAAATACCATGACTTGACCGCATGCTTTGAAATCCCTCCTACCTCTCATTAGAGAAAGCTCCTATCCAGTAGAAACGAGACCAAGTGGCTAGCCAACTCCAGGATAAAAGTGGGTGTCGTGGGTTAAAGATCGTAACTGCCAGATGATAAAACAACATAAATGGCACTCTCAAAATCAAAATTCAAAACATGCAGGTGTCAATCAAAACTACTTGGGCTAAAACGTTGATGTCTCATGTCAGTTAGAAAAAAAGGGGAAATTTAATATCCTTTGCTCGCATTCCCATTATCCATTTTGTGATAAAATGGTCGTGTCAGTTGAATTACAAAGAATTATCATACTGAATTCTAATCCGTTAAAAATGCTTCCATAACACCCATGAAGAGGTATATAAATTTGAGAAAAGCTAACAGACCGAGTCTAGCGATTGCTCGGACCTCCAATGAGAATATAACAAAAAACGGAACAAGTTTTAAAGGAATCCCACAAATCAGGCAAAACAGAAATGAAAAGCAGAAGGGAAACAAACCTGTTCAAATGTTAGAAGAGTGACGGGTACGCCATTGGGAATTCTAAAGAAATAGCTGCAGAGGGAAACACGTGAATCAGGATGAGTACTGAAGAGAAAAGCTACATGGCGAGGGAAAAAATGCTGAAGCAAAGAATAAGCAGACTAACCTTGGGACCAAGTTCCCCAAGTGTAAGAACTACCGGATTTTGGATAATAATTTTAATTTAATAAAACTGTTTTGGTTCTCGCAGAATCCACTCCCGTCACCGCGCCTCCATATATCACCTCCGTAAATTCGGTTCTCTCGCACCCGGCACCTGACGTGCACGGTGCACCAGACTCCGCCTCCGAACCGAAATCCGGGTCAAAATGGGAAAACAAGAACACGGCTGAATAACTAGCTTGTGCTCCTCCGGTCAAAAAAAAAAAACTAGCTTGTGCTCCCCGTGTGTTGCACGGGAAGCGTTCATTTCCAACCTAATAAGTACGTCAAATAGTAAAAATATCAAATATTAAAAACCAGATGAAATATACTAAAAATTAGAAAGAGAGTATTATATTTGAGGAGGGAGGGAATAAATCAAAGCTTTTTTAATATCCTCTTTGACCCTTTTTCAAATTCAAACACTTATGATTAAGTGTTATTTTCTCTCTCATCCTTCTTTTAATTTGGAACTTTGATTAAATCCATGCCTTCTTTTTTATCTTTATTTCACACTCCTGTATCACCCATGTGATGCACAAGGAGCTTAAAGATATAAAATTATTTTATCTTAATTTTCTATTTTTTTGGGTTAAAACTTAATTTATTATTAACTACTTATTATTGTTTGTAGCCAATTAATAATACTAATAATTGTTGGCAAAAAATAAAATAAAAAATCATGAAATGTTTTCACATTTAAATGTAAAATCCTAATGAAATTATAGTTGTAGGTCCGAAAATTCTCAGCTTATTATGTCAAAATTTAGTCTTAATATATTTATTATATATTGAACTAAAAGTTATATTCATTAAAATATAAACTCTAACCAAATATATTTAACTCCAATTACATTAATTATACCATTTAGACGATCCCTATACTAATCTATCACACCACAACTTTAATTTCTTTCTAATTTTCTTGGCACAACATGCTTGCACTTTAAGTTTTTCAGTGATTTGCTCAAGATAATTGGGATTTATCACGTTCAAATAATAGAGTAACATAATTACTTGAAAATAGGCAAAACTATACAATAATATTTGGAGTAATAACTATGACAAGTTAATAAGTATTCATTTCCTCTTAAATTGACAGCAAACATGATGAAAAGGAAAAGATGACTTTCTTTTCATTGACCTAAAAAGAAGAAACATAAAAAACAGCTTTCAGTTTGCAGTGTCATCAACTTTTGCCCTGTTTTATAGGCTTAATGTTACAGCCAGAATGCCTCCATACGTGCACTGCTCTAGTCTTGCGACCTTTTATAGACATCTTCAATTGAAGAATGCGTCTTTAACAAAAGAGATAAGTCATACTTGATATCTATAGATCCCAAAAACATGAATGTATTAATAGGCAGTCCAACTTTTGAAGATGTGTTGTTCTTATTTGGAATATCATATGACACCTACATAAAGAACTTTTGACACCGCCAGCTGACTTTTCACGAGTCATTGAATACATAAGTTAGCCATGTTGCTTTTCCCATGGACAGGTTTGAGTATGACGGGCATCATCAAGGCCTATTCGATTCTTTGACACATATTAATCTATGGTTATACACACTTACATCAGTGAGCGAGGATGAGAGAGATCATCAAGGCCGGCTATATATGCTGCTATATGCACAGGGAAGGAATAGAACATAATGAATATAATGCAGAACTAAAGAGGGTGAAATATCAGAAAACAAATGGAAATTAGAATTGAGAGAAAGTTACGTGGTAAACAATTTGAAACCAAAAAAAAAAAAAAAGATGAAGTGCTTGGAAAGGATAAAGTTGTTTCTCATGTGCTTTTATACATGCCTAACTATTTGACTTCAAGTGATACGCCTCCAACAAAATCAATAGGTAACCTTCAAATTCAAATAGTAGAACGAGGTGGATAGGTTTTGAAAACATGTAGTTTGTTTGGCTTTTTTTTAATATTGATATATATTGTTAACATAAAGAAAGGACCCGTCGGTTGACCAAAAAAAAAACAAAGAAAGGGCCTGTCATTTTGATGGCATAAGAACTCTGTATTGCAAAAGTTCAGTGCACTGTCGGAAGCAAATATTGTCTACAAACTACACATGCATACTTTAAGATATACCCTTTTTGAGATGCTTCCTACGCTAATCTTTCAATTTTTTGTGGAGAAAAATAATTGCCCTTTATCAGCCACAGAAAATACTGATAGAAAGAAGGATGAAGTCATTAGTGAGCCTAATTGTAAGAAGACAGGTCATTTGAAGGAATCCATATGCTACAATGAAAAGAAGACCGAAATGTGACTTTATTTGGCATGTTTCCTTTTTGAGACGTTTTCGGTCATTTAACACCATCAAGAAATAAACACAGCAGAGGTAAAATACTTGTACACTGAGGTTCAGATCTCTTTTTTCAGGGCAGTCAATGTGGTCCATAAAGCTTTTAATATTTTCATGAAACACCAAAAGACCATGTTGGAAAAAAAAAAAGCAAAAACAAATATCTAGAAAGAATCATTATACTTTGGTAGAAATAAAATTCAATCTATGATATTCAATAATCAGAAATATACGAAATAACAGTCACAAATGATTTTGCTGTGTATAAAAAATTTAAAGTAATGTGATAGATTACATGGAAATTTGTAATTCTCCTTGGCCCCACAGAAAATTACAGATTATTTCATGAAAATTAATGAAAATATTGAACTCCCAAAATTTTGTCTGGTGGCCTTCTTTGTTTAATGTAAAACAACGTGTTTCAAGTTAATATGGGTTGAGTGCTCTATGATTATATAGATTGACATCCATATAAGTATATAATAATGTTGCAATATGCATAAAATTCGTTAGATGCCAAGAGCAAGTCTAAGCATGAGCATTTAAATTTATTATGATTTTAAGCATGGGTAAGACAACTTGAATAAAAACACACCCTAAAGAATAAGAACCATTAGACATTAGCTTCTTTTCCCCCCCTACCATTGACTAACATCAGCTTGAGGAAAAAAGGTTTAACTGACACAAAAAAGTTGTTTGACAGAACAATAAACACTAAAGAAGCAAAGTCATAAGCATCATGCGTTCAATCTTCTTTAAATCTATGGTTCAATCCTCATGCAGTTTAAATTTTTACATGATGCTAAACACATTTTCTTATGAAACTCCTGAAGCATGGTATAATTTTTTCTGAATGGTATCCTATAATCACCTTAGATAGCTCCCATTGCAACACATAGCATCCATACTAAAAAAAAGTACGGATCCATTCTTTTCAAAACTTATGAATCCATAGTTAAAGCCACCGGTGCATATCTTCACACAAAGCAAATTGAGCCACATCCACACAAAATACACACCCAAGCTCAGCAAAATAAATGAAGCAAGATGATTAGAATGACATAATAAGAATAAGAACATGGCGGAAAAGAAAAATAAGCTTCAAATAGAATCTCACACTTAATATGAGCTTAAAAAATGCAGACAACGCTTCAAATATAATCGAGTCATGATATTATAAAAATGACTTAGCAATCTCACACTTTTATGTTGGCAAAAAAAAAAAAAACTACTCAGCAGTTTTTATTTTTTTTTTCCAGTCGTTGTTACTCAGACAATGCTTTTGTTTTATTAAACAATCAACATGGTGCCCACACTTGAGGAAACATAATTGAGCTGTTCAAGGGAATAGAGTAAGGTCAGATAAAATAAAGCAGTCTTGCTTTTCTAGCTATGCAAGGCCAATAGGGTGCGGTTTTTGATGACTTAACTTTCTTCTAAATAGCTCAGCCATTTTGTTTTATAGGGTATATATGTGCATCCGCACCATTTTATTATTAGAGCCTCACTCGCGAGAATTGCTGTGATTAATAAGAAAAGAATTAAAGGATGTGGTTTCACATGCTTAACAATAAAAACCTTACCCACTGAGATTAATAAAGTTAAGTCAATCTTAGTGCTATATACTTTATCATGGTGTGGACGCAATGATCATTTTAAGTCACTACATCAAATTTGATAATAATATATCTACGTAACTTTCAAGTTCTGACATTTTGGGAAATCGAATATCACTAATGTGGTAAAACTTGAGCAACCAAAATATTCATCTCATGGGAGAGCATGATGTAAAGGAGGATCGGTTCATCCTGACATATCCCTCTTGAAAGCAAGATATACAATCAACAGATAGAGAACTACAACATAAAAGAAACTAAATATCTGAATTCTATAAAATAGAAGAACCCAAAATCAAAGAACAGATACAATCAACAGATAGAGAACTATAGAAGAACCCAAAAACCAAAATTGCCGGAGCTAGACATGGGGAAGGGGAAATTAGTTCACCTCATATCATCCTTCTTCACTGTAGCTTCTTCGCCGCTGCCTTGGTCGTAATATCTCCACACTGTTAGCCATCTACATTCTTGACCTCTCATATTGGTGTTCATCCTTTCCTCCCTCCATCTTTATTTCTTTGTTCCTTCTAATCTAAAAACTCAAACGAAGAAAGCAAACCCTTGAAAGATGTTGAGAAGAAAATTTTAGAGAAGATAAAAAATCAAACCTTGAAGCAAGCATAACCTTCTGAAGATACTTACATAAAATAGAAGAAGGATGGTGGGAGAGAACAGAAACAAGAAGAGGAGAGGAAGAATGGATATATATGACGTAAAAAAAAAAGAAGATAAAAACTCAAATCGTGAAGAAAGCCTACCAGATGTCTCTCTCATTGTGCTTTAGAAACTTTACAATAACCGTGCATCAGACCTTCTTATTTTTCCCTGTTGATTACAAATCCGAAGAAATTTTAGCAATTGTGAAGAAATAGCTAATATTACCTTTGCTCTTCTTCATCTTCTAGAGAGAATACATAGATGAGAAACTCATCTGTCATGTGAATCATAGTTGAGCTTTAACTGCTTCAATATGGCAAGACCTTTGAACAACTTCTTCATTCTTAGATCAATGTTGTAGAGAGAGATGAGTTCAAACAGAATAGTAGAGCTACCTCGAGCAAATAAGAAGAAATCAGAGACAGAATACATGTTTTTGTTTTCTTCCTTCCTCGATGAACTGCAAGAAATGATCGAAAAACCTAATAAGAGGGGCCAAAGAAAAACAAACCGAAGAACAACAAAGAAAAGTGAAATTAGCGAAAGGAAAATAAAATAAGAGGAAGAAGGGGAAAGAGCAGAAATGAAAGAAATAATAAAAGAAGATTATAAACATTTTGAATGAGATAAAATGGCACTGAGACTCCTGAAAGGAGATCTGAAGAGATGGAGGGAGATAAAATTTAAAATTTGAATTTAGAAGTGAGTACCTGTGGCAATGAAGAAGTGAGAGGTAATGCCTCATGTGAAAAAAATGACGGAGAGAGGCGTATGATAAAACTCACGAAGAGGGAAAACATAATAAATGGGACTGAGAGAAAGGTGCGGAACAGTGAGCCACAACCCAAAGCCCAATGTATATCATCTATTATGATTAGCTTGACAGAGCCCAAGAAATAAGCTTATTTTAATGAGCATGGCTTGTGAACAGTAATTCATCTCTGAAGCCAGTGCTAAGCCGTTTCTGGAGATGGCTTGGTGGAAGAGTATTTATATATATATTGATATTGATGATTACCACCGGTAGACCGGTAGAGCCGGTAATATGGGCCAACCCGCCGATTATGGGTTGGCCCATGGCAGGCCTGAAGCTTGGCGGGCTGGGCTTTTTAGGACCGCTTTCTGACGGGCTGGACTTTTTTCAACCCGGCCTGCGAGGATGGGTTGGCGGGTTAGGCCCGCCAACCCGCCAAATTTTTTTTTTTACTTTTTTTTAATAAAACCTACTCAAAGTCTCAAATTCCTAAATACCTAAAATAAAACATGCAAATAAAAATTATCATAAATAAAACATGGAACCCATCCAAAGTTTCAAGTTCCAAGTTTCAAATATATCAAAATATTAAACATATGATTAAATGAACATGATATGTCCTTAATAATTTAACAAACATCTCGAATTAAAACATAAATCCAAATTAACACTACCACAAAGTCACAAACACAAAGTCACTACACAAATCACTATCAAGTGCTCAATCATCACTCATGAGCTAGGGCAAAGGTGCAAAGCAAAGACAAAGAGCAGAGAGCTTGGGGCTTGGGACTTGGGACTTGGGACTTGGGACTTGGGACTTGGGACTTGGGAGTTAGGACTGGCCGAGGGCGACTGGGAGACTGAGTCTGGGAGAGTTGGGAGTCTGGAAGGAGTGCGACATGCAAGCAAAATGTGAAAATGGGACCGTGTTGGTGTTGCCGTGTTAGACTATTGGACATGGACTGCTCACTGTTGCATTGTGGACTAGGCTAAGAGTGTAGAGACTAAGGGGTGTTGGTTGGAGGGGAGGGGAGGGGAGGGAAGGGAAAATGAGCCCCTCCCCTCATTTGGTTAAAAATTTTGGAGGGGAGGGGAGCTAAAATGTCCCCTCCCCTCCCCTCCCCCATTTTGGCTCCCCTCCAAATTGGGGGTTTTTGGAGGGGAGCCAAAATTTTGGACCATTATGCCCTTATGGTTTTTTTAATATTCCACTTCTACCCATAAAATATATTATTATAATATTTATTTAAATAAAAAATATATTATCCTAAGTAAAAAAATAAAAAATAAATACATTATTATAATTAAAAATATATTATAAAAATTATTTAAAAATAAAAAATTATTTAAATAAAAAATTATAATATATAAAATAATTTTTTTATAAATATATTATTTATTAATATATTTTAAAGATGGAAAAAAAGATAGCCTAAAGAAAATAAAATTTCATTTTTCTTAGAGCATATAAAATTTGTTAATTTGATTATTTTAAAATATTATTATATTAATTAGAATAAAAAATTACTATACCAATTTTTTAATACACATATTAACATGATAAGACTGAATTTATTAAATTATATAATTTAAATTAAGATGTAAATTAATTTACATAATATATCAATAAAAAACATTAAACTAATATATAAGGGTAAAATGGTAAATTGATTATTACTATCCCTCCCCTCCCCTCCTTGAACCAAACAAAGGATCATTAAATACCCTCCCCTCCCCTCCTTTTTAATCAAACCAAACAAGGTGAGGATAAGACCTCCCATCTCCCTCCCTCCCCTTCCTTCCCCTCAAACCAAACAGGCCCTAAGAGGCAAAGGGAAAAATTTGCCAAAAAAAAAAAAAAATGGTTAAACGGGTTGGCCCGCCAACCCTGCGGGTTAGCCCGCCGCGGGTTTGGGCTTGGCGGTTATGAGCTCAAAACTTCCATTTTAAAACGGTCCTAATTTTTATCAACCCAACCCGCCACTTATTGGCGGGTTGGCTCAACCCATATTACCGGCTCTAACCACCGGCCTCTTGGCCGTTGTGTGGTGTGTGTGTGTGTTGGATGTGTGCGTGGAGGTTGGAGCCCGCTCCTTATATTACCAAAAAAAAAAATTACTATGAATATTTAGTTCATTTTAAATTTTATGTTAAAAAAAAAGCACGTGTCTAGTAAAATAGTAATATATTCATGTAGTAAATAGATTCTTTATGCTAATGATGCGCTATCCGCTATCCTTCTTTTTGTCAAAAGAACCTTGAAAAATTAGAAAGATTTTAAAATTGTATACATGCACACGCATTACTTTTAGATATAATGTACATAAATTAATTGCTTGTTGAATGAGACTTTACCCAAAAAAAGTAAAAATGGGAGTATTAAAACATACACAACAAACAATTTATATCTATCTATTATATATAAAGTTTCTTAAAAATTATACTATTTAATAATTATAAATAATACGATTTATTTCAATCTTCGTGATAACATTTTTTTATTTAAATTAAATTAGGCGGGCATTTCAACATCAAACCAAAACCGAGCCACGCCATAAATTGGCATGCATTGCCGACATTATATTATAGTTGGCTCTTGCTGGGGGAAAAAGTGAATCCAAGCTATATGGTGTCAAAGCCCACCCGAGAGATTTAGGCCCAAAGAATTACCCAAGATGTAAAAATGGAAGCAGAAGAGCTTTGCTTGGGCTTCGGGCCCATTTGAGGATCAAATTCGACGCAGTAAAAGCCCAAACTTGATGCTAATAAACTCCCTCACTTGGGGCCCAAAAAAGAGAAACCCTGAAAAGTGAAAAACCCTCCGGGACAATCAGCCGATGGCAGCCTTCTTCTCTGTCAGTAAATGGGTTGGAATTTGTTTTTCTGGCTTATAATTTGTTTTCCCCTCAACGTTGCTCTTCTTGCCTCCACTTTTTATCAGGTATCTCCTTTTCTCCCATATGTTTTATTTCTCACTGTCGTTAGATTTTGTTATTACATTGATATGGAGGATGCGCATTACGGCTGTTTTGAGTTCAACGAATCTGATTGAAGTTCCTCTTTTTACCCCCCTGAAGATTCTGATCTTAACAGACTTGGAGGCTGACTATGTCAACCCATATGAGGCTTCCTCCCGTATCAATTACTTCGTTGTTCCTGAGTTTATTGGGCAGGCAGCACTATGCGCTCTCTTCCTCCTCACTGGGCACTGGTTCATGATCTTTTTGACAGTTCCCATCACTGCCTATCACATGACGCTGTATGGTGGATATTTGTACTTAGATTTTCTTCTTGCTTCTTAGGCTACAACAATTGTCATCTAGCTAGTGGAAAACTTGGAATATTTAAAAATTTCTAACTTGATTCACAGTTGCTGTTGAATTTTTTAGGCTGAATCATGAGAACTGAAAACTTAGCTAAATTTGTAACTGCTCTAATTAACTTGCAAATGAATTATTAAATGCATATATTTTGTTTAATATCCGTAGGATTTAGCAAAAGAACTCGCATGTTTTTGTCGTGAATCATGATTTAGCCATTTTAATGATGATTCAGGTATGCGAAACAGCAGCATCTTCTTGATGTCACTGAAATGTTTAGGGTAGTTAATGCTGAGAAGAAATACCGGATAGTGAAGTTTGCTTTATATCTCTTGACTCTTGCTGTTGTTGTCTTCAGGTATGCCATACACATAACTTTGATATGGTGGTGTACATCGCATTATTACTGCTTTATTTTATTTTGATTTTTCTGATTAAGGTCTTCCTGCAGGATTATCGCTGCAGGAATAATGCTATTTCACAATTTCAAGTTTGAGGATGTCCGGTCTACCCTTTTTGAGTTCTAGGAAATTTTTGTAATCCTTCCAGAATGTGTGATTGGCACCGTTCGGTGATACCTTAGCACTTGGTCTCCTGTAAAAGTTAACTATTTAAGTTAGCTTGGATTTAGAAACTTTTAGAGTCATTATACTTGAAATTTTATGGGATCAATTTACTTGTCCAGTTATGGATGGATCTTGTAGTTGAATGTAAATAAAAGTCTTGCATGTTACCCTCATCTTGTTGTACTTTTTCAACCATCGAGATTGCAGTTGACTTTTGTTCAGACGTTTCTTCGGGGGCCAAAAAAGGGGGGGGGGGATGTGTCCGTGTACATCAATAAGATTCTGACTATACTGGGTCATTTATTTTTAATCAATTGGCTGGATTGGTTATATTTGAGAAGATACAGTAATGGGGGCGAATGACTGCTGCAATTTTCCTAATTTGTCCTAGAGTTTGAAAATCATCTTCCTCATGTCAGCCTCCAGACCTGTCATCATGGGGCAAGTTTGGTGGAAACGGATCGTAGAACAGTACCCGAAATCCTGTGGCACATACCAGATTCTTATGAACTGTTGATATCTATGATCATAGATTATTGTCTAACTGCAAAACCACGACTGGGAAATCATGTAGGATTTTTCTGGAGACACGCTCAAACAATTTACCAAGAAAACTTTTGATTTCCGAAAGCACAAATCTTTTGATATTGTGCCAAATATTTTGACTGTCAGCTACAATGCAAAAAAGATTAAGCGATGAAATAATCGAACAAGAAAATGCCTACTTTAAAATTCCTTATTCATCGTTTAATTCAATTTCTACATTTGAATAAGGGATTTCTTTTACTCCTTTTACTACAAAGTTGCCTGAATCAGCAATTCATCTTCTAGTTTTCAGTACTTCACTCGTCTTTTCATAAACTCAGACTTGAGAATGAGGCTGGGTCAAGATCTCATCAGAATATAAATTTTCTTGGCAGTGATCTATATATGAACATGAATAACACGAGAAGGCATATGTAGTCACTGATAGCATTTCTTTTCCATGGTAAAATAGGGTAGACTTCAAACAGTGGTTATAAAAAAGCTATGTATCATTATTCTTGCAGGCAACATTCATCATGGATTGCCATTTATAATTTATCACTTCCTGGAGATCCTAAAGGTTAATTGTTCTGGGTATGGAGGAAAATGGCCTGCAAAACTACTTAACCAGCGTGGTAACCAATGTGTGAGGTGGGGTGTAAGTTGCTCTATGTTGTACGTCTCCCTGTTTTCGCTCTCATTTTAGTGGGAAATTTGAATTTAATCAGTATTAATGAGGTTAAAAAGTGAGCAGTTCACTGTCAATAGAAATAGAAATGTTGGCAACCAGCCAGAATGGTGAATACTGTGAATCTGGATTGGAAGCCTTTTTATTTGGATACATAAGAGACGATTACTTGCTAATTAAGGGTGAATAATACAATGATGATGCACATTCAATGTTAGAAAGTCTCAGAGGCAGAGGGCGGAAGTAGAATATATATATATATATATATTGGTGGGTGGACGGGTGAAGCATTTTCAAAAGCAGCACCACTCTCACTGGAAAAAAGCCGAAACCTAACAGATCATTCCCATCCATACCCAAACTATCAACGTCCCTTCATCAGAAGCTCATTTACTTGTACTTGAAGGCGTTGAGAATGTTAGTTTGGCATGCCTTTGATGGGAAGTGGATAGTTTCTTTGGAGTGTTTTTTTTTTTTTTTGTCCCATGTATAAGTTTTCTTTGTTAGAGGCAATCATATTCAAAGCATTATCGAACACTAAATATAAACATTTTTTTAGTGAAAATTTGAATCTTAATTTACTATACTGTGACAGATAAATCCTTTTTGATGCACCCAATCTTATTAGTAAAAGGAAAATCAACTGGGAAGCTGCCTGGTCATTTGAGTGCTGCTTGTTATTTTGTTTGGGTGGGCCTACTATCATGAAGGCCGGTCTTATTCATTCTGGACCACTTTTGGCGGGCCACCCACTACTGTCATCTCAGTATTCACTCTTTATAATTACACTTGTGCTGTTCCGAATTTCTTAAAACAATCATTTTTACATTTTACAATTTACATGATAAACTGTTTTTTGAAGCTGATGTGAATAGACGCCTAGACTTCCCTAGTAATTTGGCAAGGCATTAGATATGCCTTGCATCGGTCATGTATTTAGGCATTTTATAATATCCATTTATGGTTGATTTATTTTACTCAGATTTTTGTATAAGACTAGTTAAATCAGTTTTTTGTAACAAATATATGTTGGCTTTCGTACATTAAAATTATATTTAGGTAAAAATACCTTAAAATCAACATGTATGTTTTTTAGAACACAATAACTAGGGCTTTATATTTAAGACTGTCAATTAGTTTTTATATTAAGAATCGGAAGTAGTAATAATCATTATAGGCTGTGCAATTATTATGTTCTAGTTTATGTGCTCACTCTCTCTGGTTTTTTTTCCCCGAAAAAGAAAAGAGAGAGAAACTGTTGGTGGGTGTAGGATGATGAGGGTGAGGCTACGAAGGAGGGGGTGGGTGGAATAAGAGAAAGTTGACGAATGAAAAGGAAACAAAATGTAATGAAACGATACGACCAAACAGATAAAATTTGTATGGCTTTTCGCTGTCTTGTTTGGTTCCTTCCTTCGTCCTTTATTTCTTTCTGGTGCAATGCAACAGAATCGTTGGAATTCAATTCTTCAGAGTTGGGATATCAATCAGGTTCTTGGGGTCTTCCTGATTGTATCCTTTGATCGTGGGGCCCACGACGCGTGACTATTATCTTTCCCTTTCCTTCTTTGCTTTCTTTTCTTTTCTTTTTTCCAGGTCTCCATGTTATTCTTTCGTTTCTTTTGGGTTTCCATATCAGACTGAAAGCAAATATCACTCGTCTTTCACTTTGATACTGCACCATGGATGGATGCCGCTCCTTGTGATCTTCATATTCGCAATCAAATGATAATCTGAATTTTATGTTATACTTTAAAAGATTAAAGGATAAATTATACACAACCCTCTCATAATTTGGATTGTGCACAGATATTCATAAGTATGCAAAAGCAGTTTTGTGCCTTAAAAGTTAAAACATAAAAGAGTTTTCCTTTTTTAAAATGATTGTGAGAATTTACCAAAGAAGCACGTACAGTGACTTAGTTGAAATTGGTATGAGAAGACAGAGACAAAGGGAGGTGGGCACACAGCCAATTCTTCTCTTAAAAAGCTTATCACAAACAACAAAGGAGAATGTGGGCGAAATAATGTGAACACAACTTTCCATCTTCATTTCTCACTGCAGACGGATCATTATTTCACAGCCCCGGAGAAGAACAGCAGGAAGACGAAGAATTTGGAAGGAATAAAAGATTATTGAGGATACCAGAAAGGGACGTCCTGTTTATTTCATTCAGCCTTTTCATCAGGGGCAGAATTGTATTCTCATTCTGTTTCTCCCAACGGTTAGCTTCCCCACCTTCAATAAGCTTCTCCCAGCCCCCTGTCACTATTTCAAGTCGTCGCCAGTGACTATTGATTTATGCAAGTTGAAGGGATTTTCCCACTAAATGGACTAATTTTTTGGGATAGATTTTTTTTCTGAACTTCTGCTTGCAATAGGCTGACTATTTTACACCTGCTATGATAAAATAAAAAAGGCGTGAAAAAGTAAAGGGAGGAGATCAACATAGAGAGGAGTGTAGAAATGGGAGACATGCATGTGATTAAAGCAGGGTTTAATGGCGAAGGACGGTATACTTTGGGTTTATGAGTGGTGGGGCCTTGATCAGTAATCACAGAGATTGTCAGAAGAATTATCATGTTATGTATTTGGTTTTAAGGCCTCATTGTTTTGCCGGACGTCGCTTTTTAAGTGCTTTAGAAGCATAGCATCAGAAACACATCGGAAATGGCATATGGCAGGGGCTCAATTTAGCAGAAGCAAGCAACATGATTTATGGGTACGCACCAGGAATTTGGTCGACTAGTACATGGTCCTTGCTCCACATCTTGGTCTCCTTCTTAATTAGTCTTACTTTCTAAATAACCCTTTTCTCACTTTTAGGCCACCATACCCACAATAGGACTGGCATACACTTGTTTACTCTTCTCTGCACTTAGTGTTATGAGGTTATTTATTGGCCCGCGGATAAAACCTGTAGTTATGCACTAACAACGCAGTAACACATTGGTCAAGAATAAAAACATCATCTCGTGCTTCTTACACGAATCATGAGGACTTGATTCTTTGTTACCCCTCAATAACCTTCATTTTCTGTATAAAACCCGACATATTTCTGTGTACTCAAAAGCAAGGCTCTGGATCCAAGAGGAAATAAATTTCAGTCACAAGGAAGCAATGGTTTTAGTTTAAACATGAGCATTGTTGGCACGGAAAAAAAAGAAAAAAGACACGAATGTTATCAACTTATCATGGTCGATATTGCTTGAAAACTTTCGCCTTTTTTTTTTTTTTTTCTCTTTTGAAAAGGGTGGTGCTCAACGTTGCTAGGAAGAAGAAAGGAGAAAAGTCAGAAAACCAGTGACTAAGCATACACACAACTGAAATAGGAAAACGTATCCAAGCAGGAAAATGTGAAGGCAGAGGTCGAGTTGCCCATCAGGTCAATGAAGTGGGCCTCTGCTGGCAACGGCTCGAGAGGGACAATAATAATAACAAAGATTATTATTCTTTTGTTTTATTACCTAAACCTTTGTCTAAGACTCCGGAGCACGCCTATCGCCCACAGTCCCTCTGTATCACTTGAGATAAAAAAATTTTTTAGATAAAAACAAAATCATAATTTTAAAAATATTTTTACGATATACAAAATAAATAAGTAAAAAAATTTGTCTCGATTTACAAAAATGTATTTTTTAAAAACGCTTTTGGATCAATCCAAATAACCCCTAATCCTATAGCTATAACCTGTCCTTTTAATTTTGTTTCATAACAAATTTCCAACTCCATATTGATATGTATATATTGATTGACAAAGAAATATGGGTTATGAAAAGTAAGTTAACGAAATGGGGGACTTTATTCGGTGGTCCCCTGATTTGGCTGCCTTTACGGTTTTACCATGGTAATGGACGAACAGAATTGTTAGAAGCGTTTTACCCTCCCTCCCCCCACTACCTCAGCCTTTGTCCACTAGCGCCAAATATACTCGTTACCCCTCAACTTAGCGCATCACC